TTTAAATAGCTTTAAATGTGTCTTACTGCATATTTCTGACTCGTTTTCTGATGTGTTTGTCACAATAGTATCTTACTACCAAACCCCAATGAACTTTTCAAGAACCATTTAAACATCTTATACACATTAACCATGTAAACATTAGACACATTAGCCATTTAAACATTAGACACAAATGAAATGATGAAATCCAAATGTAACTACTAGTGGAGGTGATGTATTAAGTCATAACAATACTTAATTCTGCTGCTGCTTTCATATTTCCTTGTTGTGGAGCCGGTAATGAAAAGCTATGTAAAACTGGGCAACTTGAGATAGCTGCAGCGTTTCCAATTTCCAGTTACAGAAAAGAATAAAAGTAATTATTCCTGTGGAGTTTCAATTTAAATATCCTCTTCATAGAGGCCAGTCTTCTGGAAACCCAGGTTCTTTTCCCTGTCATCCAAAGCGAGTCAAGCCCTCACTTCCTGAACATAGGAAAACAGCTAAATAGCTGAAATACAGCAATAAAGTGGGACTGCGAGAAACTGTAATAGAAAGACTAATTCAGAAAAAAAGGAGATGTCAGCTTCACAACAACCAAACATGAGAACCTTAGATAAAAACGTGAAAACTAATCTTTTGCCATTAAGGCATACAGTCCTCCGGGAATACTTTGCGCTGACAGCGGAGAATGGTATGATGCAAAACTCTAATTAACTACGACTATCACTAAAGGATGCTTAACTCCGAAAATAGTGAGTTAAAGGAAAAGCTGCAAGCAGTTATATAATGAAACACATTGTTCAAAATTTTTCTCGTCTTTCTTTTTGCCTACTGTAACAAAATTAAATCTTCTCAGAATTTATTGTACCATGGCAAGGAAATTTTTATTTGGAGTTAAATCCCACAGTTGTGAGCAAACTCCCAAGAGAAGTAATTGCATTTTTAAATGAGCATACAAATCTGAATATTAGTAGGACATATCAATTAACCTTATATTGTAGAAGCTATTAATTAACCTTATATTGCTACTGTTTTATCCTGCATTGCAGAAAAATTCAAATCTTCCCTTTCACAATATTTTGCTGACTCGGTCAAATAAAAAATATCGAGCTTTTTTTTTGCCTTGGTATGGGAACAAGCAGTCTATTCATTTTATTTACTTTGGCATTCCCTTAATAAATTTAATTTATTTTCAGTGAAAAAGACATATTAGGTGTTAAATTATTGGGGATAATTTCAGAACATACATGCAAATACAACAGTGCCTTGACTTCACACCACAAATTTCTTCATTTAGTTCCCTTCTTTAGTACCAAATGAACATTCTCCTTATCTTTTTAAAAGGAGACATTCAATTGATTCCCAAGTTAGTATTGGAATTAAGAGAAAACATTGATACACAATGAGTTTTGAACGGGCTGTGGAGAAAGCAGCTGCCTCCTTTCTCTGAATCACTCGAAAGTATTAATGTTTTGTATTATTCTAAACCTGATGAAGAAATGGTCCTAAATTTGCCCCAAAACAAGGACTTTGTATATTCGAAAATTATCTACAAAGTCCCACATTGTTTCTATAAACAACAAATAATTTCTAAGCCCATCCAGACTGTACTGTATATTGATACTATTTTAATGGTCTGTAACACACACAACAGCTGTCAAAGTTTTTTTTCTTTTCTCAGTACAAGAATATTAAATGAAGTGGAGATAAAAATAGACCCATACTCTTATTTCCAAATGTTATTCTGACACATCTACTAATTCTAAAAGCTTTCGTTTCATGTGGGAAAAAGATTTTAAAGCCTTTGATATTAATCACAGAAGTCAAACTCCAGCATAGATACTTCAGATTCAGATTAAGGCACAGTTTACACCTTAGAGCTTTTCTAACTACATTTGTGAACTTCACAACGCTAATCTGTAACAAAGCAAGCCATCTAAAATGAAATCACACCCCCTAAGTCATTATGATTGCAGTTTGAGAGGAAAAGGTAGACAAGAGAAAAACAAGCAAAATTTCAGAGAGCCTCTGTGACACCTGATAACACCTTTAGGCTGTCTCATAAATGCAACGGGACAGATGCATAGGAATGAAAGAAATTTTTTCTTAACTAACCGAAAAACAGCATAGATCATAGCAACAATTCATTAGACATTCTGATAACTACATGACATGAACTACATTTAATCCAAGATATGCTTTTAAAGTGCATGCATTTGTCTACCATTGTATAAACTGCATGCAGAATATCTCAAATGTATAGCATTACAGTGATTCAGGACATACTTCATTTAAATAAAGACATGCTAAGCAGGATGTCACCTTGTAGAAGCTCTAAGCTTTGAAACACAACACAAGTCTAGCTTCTGAATACAATCACTTCTCATCTGTATCTCAAGCCAGTCAGATAACTGCCATATCAATACTCTGTCACAGGCTCTTAGATCTGAGGGTGTCCTGTGGGGTACTTTTACAGGGTTCAGGAAAAATAAATAAATAAATAAATGAAGCAAAGTAAATAAGTAGAGAAATCATTGCCATTTGTGATTCTGCTATTTCCATTTCAATGGAAAGATTATCTCGTGTCAAAAAGCGGACAAAATGGATTTTGTCCCAAGGTTGCAGAAAGTACAATATCCAAAGAGATTTTCTGACACAGAAGGACTACTTCTCTGTCCTTTATTAGCAAATAATAGAAAATATAGGTGCTTCTAGCAAAACAAATAATTTTGCTCTGTCCGAGTCCTACATTAATTGAAAAAAATCCCTAGATGTACAACCTGCATTTGCACATCCTTCTTGAAAAGGAACACTAGAAAAGATAGCACAGAATATTGTGATTCACAGTTTATGTCCTTAAATTTTGCATTCGATATTAGCGTACCACAAAGGTAATCTTACACTGCTATTTTTTGCAGCCGTCTTGATTTATTTGCAACATGACATAAAAACTTTGCAAATCATCTACCGGCTTGACATAAATTTTAATTATTACTCACAATTGTCTTCTCTTATCCTGTGACTGTAAAGCTAAGCTAAGCTACTTAAAAATTTGTTTTTGTTCTACAATCAAGGAAACGCTGCATGTTCCAAACCTGAAAGTTACACTTTAAAATGTTGGTTACTAATATGAACCGATTTTCTTGTAATGGATTCTTATTCTATTAAGACATTCTGTCTGTGTGTACATTGTGGGGCCTGACACCTTTTGAACACGCATGCATGCGCTACGGGGACATGTATCAGTGATGTGGGTAGGGTTTCCACCAGTTTAAACAACACAGCAATCAAAATCTGAACGCTTAACTGCTAAAAAAACTGAAGCTGACCACCCTTGAACAGGTAATTACAACACTGTGCTACAGTTAACAAATCAATATAGATAATATTCCCGAAGAATCTCCTGATGACAGCTGTACTTGTCAGAGGCACTTGCGAGTTTTTAACCCTCTCCCTCACTCCCTCCCCTACTGCTATCAGAGAGCTCCTGTCTAATCCCCTCCATTATAGGGGCTGATATAATTCAAAGCAAGTTATTTTCTATGCATCCTCTACCTGACTGAAAGTACTTGTTTTTTTTAATCCATGGCCCTTCAGCTAACAGACTTCCATTCACAGTAGAAATGAACTGGGTCTATTTTATATATAAATATATAGATACACACATACACACACATGTATGCATGCATACGCACATACATATGTACCTGTGGACATATGGTGGTGGACATTCCGCTGAACCG